TTTCTCACAGTTAAGCCACCAAACCACCACCAATATGTCGGACGACGCCGCCGTTGCACCAGCTGAGAACAACGTTGGAACGCCGTCAGAGGTAAGTCGGAAAATTATTTTTATTCTTCCCCCCCCGATGCTCAGTAAAGAGGTAAAGCAGCGGCGGCTCGCCAAATACGGCCAAGCTTCCTTACATTCTAAAATCATGTCTTGTTGTCTCTCTTAGAGATAAGCAACCAATACCGCATGTAACCCCTCTCCGAACCCAAAAGATGACATGGTGGCATTATATCGTCTTATTTCCAAGGATGAAATATGGATTTGTAATTTAGAATTGAGAGGTAGCGAGGCAAAATGGCGAGCGCCGCTGCTGATCAATCCAGCCCCTGGCTCTTTCAAAACCAAATTTCCCGCCACAACACCATACGAATTCCCGCCAAAACTTTATTCAGGCTTCATTTTTTTTTGTAGCAGGTGACAAGTCTAGCGGGAGATATTACGTGTCTAGGTGAGATGAGGATAACGAAGGAGAGAACAAGGCTGGGTCTTAATGTATATTATGTATAGATAATTAGTTTCTAGGAGGGTACGCTTGGTCCATGTCTGCAGGCGGCCTGCACCAGTTCATGGCCGAAACCTTCCTTTACTGTCACATATATGCATCAGAACATCATATAAATTCATTGCAATATTTAAACAAATATTTATTGTAAAATTACATGTGTGTGTATATATATGTACACCTTAACGTTTGTGACGTAATATTTAATAAAACGGTACGCTAATGTAAGAATGTAAAGTTATCACAAGTCATGCTTCACACTTTCCTACCAATAATCTATTATTATTATTATTATTATTATTATTATTACTTGAGCTTATTATACGCAGTCTAACTTTAAATTATGGTTAAATTAAACAATCTTTAATCTTTGTTTTTAGTACTGGCTCAGATTTACGCGAATATTTAAGTTGCGCAATAAGTGTGTTTATGCAGGGCAATCACAAACATGATTAATTTTTGCGCGGTATAACCAAATGAAAAAAATTGTCCCAAGGAATTTGTATCCTGCTAAGCTATATAATGTTCTTGTAGAAAATCTAATGAACATATAGATTATAGCATCTGTGATAAAATATAATAATTCTTATCATTGGATTACACCCAACTATTTTCAACCATTTATTTGACACCGCAGTCAGATTCTGATGACTAGCCTTGGTCGTCAGGTCACACCTTATGGCCATGCAACCCAACTCTTTAATGTAAAGAAAAGCGGAGAATTTTTAAGACTGTGTTAGGGGGTATCATCCAAACTGGTGAAAATGTAAACTGTTAAAAAGATGTAGGCCTACCTCGCATAACATTGGGTGCACACAATCGTCCATGCAAGCAGTTGGAATGTTGCTGACATTGGAACTTGTATACGTTTTTCATATTTTTACACAGTCATAAGGGCATATAATTATGCGATGAAATGAAACAAATTTATAAAGACTGTTGGGTGATAGGCTACAAGTGTGGGAGGTTGGACTTGTAGGTGCGTACCTGCGTGCAGGATCTGTGAGCAACAGGTCGGTACTCGGCACGGCGGTACTTTGATGGGAGCCACTACTGCACTAACAACCTTGATTAATTTTAGATTAGCTTATGCGAAGACGAAGTTTCCAAGTTATACGGAACAGTCAGTATTATATAGGCTAAGTCATAATCAAGTAATTAGTAAAGCTGCAGTTAAATCTAGTTACGTTACTGTTTATCCGTGAAATGACAATTATCAAAACCTGTTTAGAAGGGTTCCTTAAAAATAATGTTAACTTTAGAACTAATATTTCCCGAAAAACGTCAAACTTAGTGCAAAGATTAGCCACACAAGAAGCAGTTACAGAGGGTCAGTCAGGAAGCAATGTACAGGCAATACTGTATACGGGTTCGTAAGTACAGTTGGCTTCGCTCCCGATTCGCAATCGGGTTGCCAGACACGACAGAAATGGTTGGGCACATTTCTTTTAACACACACGTTATACCTAGTAGCCAGAATACAGTACTCGGCCTACTATGCAAGGCCCGATTTCCCTAATAAGCCAAGTTTTCCAGAATTTATATTTTCAATTTTTTGTTATGAAATGATAAAGCTATCTATTTCATTATGTATGAGTTCATTTTGTTTTAATTTGAGTTAAAACTGACGTAGATATATGACCGAACCTAACCTACCTAACCTAACCTACCTTAACCTAACCTAAACTAACATAACTAAGCCAATAATGTATGTTCTTAATATAATATGATAATAATTTAAATAAACCAATTGGAAACACACGTGAGGAACACAAATGCGAACAAGCCTGAATGGTCCCCAGGACTATATGCAACTGAAAACAATCATCAGAGTGCCGGCGGGCTGATGGGCAAAATAGCCTCGGCTACCATCAGCTTTTGACCGGTCGTGATGGTCGAGTGGATTAACGTGTCCTGTACACACCAGTTGCATTGTGCTCCTGGCAGTATGGGTTCGAGTCACTTCTGGGGTGTGAGTTTTCAGTTGCATATAGTCCTGGGGATCATTCAGGCTTGTTCGCATATATATGTGTGTGTGTGTGTCGTACCTAGTAGCCAGAACGCACTTCTCGGCCTACTATGCAAGGCCCGATTTGCCTAATAGGTCGTGATTTTTATTTTCAGAAAATAGTTTCCAATCGGTTTATTTGAATTATTATTATATTATATTAAGAACATAAATTATTGACTTAGTTATGTTAGTTTAGGTTAGGTAGGGTAGGTTAGGGTCGGTCATATATCTACGTTAGTTTTAACTCAAATGAAAAAAAAAATTAACTCATACATAATGAAATGGATAGGTATGCACAAGTCATGTGCATACATTACCTAAAGTAAGCAAATTTTGGAGACAATTTATTTGCTTAGCTAAATGAACTGTGAGGTTCCGTTGCTGAACCTATTATGTGCCACAAACCCTTTCCACCATAGCCCACGGGATAAATATGGGGTGCATAATAAATAACTTAACTGGAACTGAGCAGAGTAACTTAAAGAAAACTGAGCAACTGCATGGTATCCTGACATATTCATAACATCTAAAAAGGAACCACAGTTTACTATCATCTTGCACTTACCAAGGTCTAAAATAGGGATTGGGGAGGGGGGAAATATTCCCCAATTTCTCTCCTTCCCCACTCTTCACTATATTCCCTAGTCTTCACCACCTTTCCGATCCTTCATCACCACCTCTACTCTTTATTACTTTCCCTTCATTCTTGTAACCATTTTCAATAATCATTACCATTACCATAATGGTATTACCAAATAAACTATACAAGAAACTTAACAATAATTACAGAGAAAATTATATACTAGATAAATCCTAGTGAGGATGGAGGGTGGTATTTACTGAAATTAAAAATTAGTGCAATTTGCCATTTTGTGCAAAGAGGGTGAGCCATGGGACTCGACACCAACACACCTATGACAATCCCCAATACAAAGACCAGTCATCCTGCAAAGTTTGTCCCAAGCATTTGGCTCCCAGCCTCAAACAACAGAGGGAGTTTTTCACTGCTGTGTGAAATATAATGGAGTGATTCCCATAGAGTTTTAACTGATATGATATATTTTCTGGAGCCCGTCCTCAGGCCAAATCCTTAATACCATGAGAAACCACACCCCCTCCCCCACAAACCACCTGGATAGTTATCTAGATATTTGTGATGGTCTGAAAACATGTTGCAGTTCCAGTAATAGTCTACATGTAAACTGGCAAGTGAACCTTTGTCTCAAACAGAGATTATTCTGAATTTATAACTTTATTGTATTATATATTGTTGATTTAAAATATTAAAAATGTATGCTGAAATTTTTTTTGAAGAATTTTTTTTCTGTAAACGGAATTCTATGGAAGAATGAAATAGTTTTCGAATTTCATATTTTCACATTGTACCCCCAGACCATATGGTCTGTACCCTAGACGATAAATATTATCATTTATAAGTACTCACATGCGATTTTCATGAAGTGTGAGAAATATATGATGTGATTCCCCTGGAGTTTTTAGTGATCATAATATATTTTCTGAGAGATGCATAATTTTAGATGTTTTAGCGATTCTTAATCATAAATATTCTGACGAGGGAGTTGGGAGAGGACGAAGTGGGGGGACCAATGAGATGTAGACGAGTAGGGTCATGGGGAAGAATGATGACTAAGGGGATAGGGACTAGGGGACATAGGGGTAGATGGGGTGAAGAGTTGGGAAAGTGGGGAAAGGGGTAGAACGAAGGGAGATCATGGAGATGGGGGCAGAAGGGGGGGGGGGGTTGAAGAGCAGCCTGTCCTCCTAAGGTTTCCCAACGTCAAGATACTGTCGTATTAAAATCCCCTTATCCTAACCTACCTGAGGACCCAAAAAAGAAAACGGGACAGTGTGTAAATTTCGCGAGCAGCATATGACAATTTTTGGCCTTAAGTAGAGTATACGGCAAATGCGACGTTCTATTAGGAGGACGGGTTGAAGAGACCAGGGGTAAGGGAGTCGAGGCAGAGGAGGAGAGCAACTGGAAGAACGAAAGGGAGAGGGGGGGGGCTCCAAGGGTAAAGGGTGAAGGGGGAGAGATGGGGTTTAGAGTGGGGTCCGTTTCATAGAGTGGGACCTTGCACTCTCTCGATTAGTCGTTGTCTTGATTTGTCACTCTTGATTAGTCGTTGAGATGTAACTCTCCTAACCACATACAGGTACTCAGACTTTGATGACAAAGCGCTCAGGAGAATGCGAAAGACTTGGTACAATTTCTTTACATAAATTTCACAAATACACAATTATGGGTATTTATCTTTAATAGTAATAATAAAATTTTTACTTCACAATGAAATCACATTAATTAACTTGATGTATCAATGAGAAAATCTGTAGGAGCCTTGATGATATGATTTGATCTTCCATGGGTTGGTACTCCAAAACCCACGACATACACCACTACACCACCACATGGTCAAAAGCATTGCAACCTGGGATTCAACTGAATCCTCTAGGGGATGTGAGGCTTCCACTGAAGCCTAATCTGGGGTTTCACGCATTGCCCCTA